AAAACCCACTTATGGGTGTTTCCGGTTTGAGAGGTGTTCCATGGCCATAAACACATGATTTTGAGGCTTTTGAATGATTTAAACATGAATTTTCATGCATAACAAGCTAAACAACAAGCTAGGAAGGATCACTTACGATTTTGGAGCTTGAAAGGGGTGTTTTTCGATCAAAATTTGACTTGTAGAGAGAAAGTAAAGAGAGAGTGTTTAAGAGTGGGGAAAAAGCTCAATTGAAGGTCTAGTCACCCTTATATAGGGTTTGAGTTTGCGTCCAGGTGGGAATCTACCCGATCCTGACGTTAAACGGAGTTTATGGTCGTACCTGATTAAATGGTCGTAACCCGACTTGGTTGTAAACTAGAAACTTTCCCAAATGAATTTTAGGGTGTATCATGTGTTTTTCTTTCGTTTTGACACTGATGAAGTGATAACAAAAGTCTCAATTTAATTAACCTAATCCAAAATGTTAACGGAAAAATTTAATAAAACGAGTTTTATTAACGGAAATGGGTTACAACGACAGAGTAAATTTCAGGTTGTACATCAAGCGATGAAGGATCTTTAACACTATCACTCAACCCGAGGAAGAAATTCTTTTTGAACCAATTGGATAATCATTACCTCTTAGGCGTTCTAGTAGGGTTAGTGTTTCTCCTGTGTTGTATGGTTTTCATATAACTACAGAAAGTGATATGTTTGTCAGTGATAGTACATTGATAAATTTGGATGAACCTGGTAACTACAAGGAAACCATGGCGGGCCTTGAGTCTGCTAAATGGAAAGAGGCAATGGACAAGGAGATCCAGTCCATGTATAATAATTAATTTTGGAACTTGGTTGATGATGTACTAGGTCGTACCACAGTCGGGTACAAATGGATCTTCAAGATGAAGACATACATCGATGGAACAGTACACACGTTCAAGGCATGACTGGTTGCAAAGTGCTTTACTCAAACCCCAGGTGTTGACTATGATGAGACCTTCTCACCGTTGGCTAAGATCAAATCTATTAGGGTTTTGCTAGCTATAGTTGTGCTTCATGATAATTGAATTATGGCGGATGGATGTCAAAACAACTTTCCTCAATGGAAAGTTGGTTGAGGATGTTTCTTCCAGAGGGTTTTGTGGATGCTAGGTACCCCAATAAAGTGTGTAATCTTGAAAAATCAATTTATGGACTTAAACAAGCTTCTCGTATATGGAATCTTTGTTTTGATGAGAAAGTCAAACAGTTTGGCGTCTCTAAGAGTGAGGATGCATCTTGTGTATATGTCAAAGCTAGTGGGAGTATAGTTAGCTTTGTAGTACTATATTTTGACGACACACTGCTCATAGTAAACGACATTCCAACATTGTAGGAAGTTAAGTCCTTGCTTAGAAAGTGTTTCACTATGAAGGATCTAGGAGAGGCTGCTTATATTCTGGGAATAATGGTTTTGAGAAATAGGAGTCGAAGACTAATTGGACTTAGTAAAAGTACTTACTTGGATAAAGTGCTAAAGTGTTTTATCATGGAGAACTCAAAGAAAGGAGACTTACCTATCTAGAGCAGCACCAAACTGAGTACAACTCAGAGTCCAATACCGATGCCGAATTAGTAGAAATAAGTTAAGTTCCATATTCTTCCGCCGTTGGCTCGATCATGTATGCTTTGACATGTACTTGCCCTAATGTGACTTTTTCTTTGATCATGGTCAGTTGATACCAAGGGAACCCAGGTAAAGCTCTCTAGATAGAAGTTAAGAGGATTCTTAAGTATCCATGAATGACTAAGGATCGGGTCCTTATTCATAGAGGCAGTGATGACTTGAGAGTTACTAATTATAGTGATGCCAGTTTTTTGGCAGACCGAGACAACTTCCGTTCTTAGTCTTTTTTGGTGTTTAAACTTAATGAATGAGCATTAACTTGGAAAAGTTTCAAACAGGAGACCATGGCTGATTTAATGTGTGAGTCAAAGTATATAGCTACGAGTGAAGTGTCAAAGGAGGCTATATAGTTAAAGAACTTTATTGGAGACCTTGGAGAAGTGCCAACCATAAAGTAGCCCATGGAAATTTTCTGTGATAATGAATGAGCGGTTGCCATGAACAAGGTTCCAAGGGATCATGAAAGATATAGACATATCGACAGAAAGTACCACTTTATCAGACATAAGGTAGAAGAAGGACTCTTTGTCGTCAAGAGGGTATCATCAAAAGAGAATCTTGTAGATCCCCTTATAAAGGGTCTGAGTAGGATTAAGCACCTTCATCATGCGAGGAGCATTAGTTTGAGGGATGATATTAGTTTTAGTGATTAGATAGATATTTTAGAAACTTGTAACAAAATAAATGTAATCGACATTGATGGTTATGTAATGGAGATTTATATATACGTAATTGTTTGTTATCTTTTGTTAATTGTTTATATTGTGTTTCACTTTTCATGTTTTACTTTCAGAATAATTGGATTGTTCAAATTATACATAGTCGATTATACTTTGTGTAGAATCTAAGAATCGAGTTTTAATATTAATCAAAGTAAGTAATCAGAAATCATATGAAAGATTGAACACTAATGTAAATAAGATCATGATTCAGCTCAATATTACGCTTTAGGTTTACAGAGTACAAAAGTAGACAAGACTGTAAAACTCTCTCTTACTCTAGTAAAGACTCCTATTTATAGGAGAGTAAAAGCGTACAAAAAATATACTAAGGACTAGACATCAAAGCTTCATGTAAAATGCCTTAGTAAAATAGATATCAAAACAAACTAAGAGTACATATAAGACTTCAACTCTTTACAACCAAACTACTCATAAATTCTCCCCCTTTGTAAATAGAGTTGAAGACTTCAGTTTGTAAGAAGTTGAATGGAGTACAACACTAATCTTCGTATCTTAGTATACCAAGATATAATATTTTTCAGTTCTTTCTTATCACCTTCATTATTCTTCTTGCAATGGTTCATACGAACAATCAAGTTCGTATATTGAGAAGTAGAATATCTCTCAACTTCACTTGCCTGGAACAAAAATCTCTTTTACTTTCCAGACTTATCCTTCCCAGAGAAGACTAAGAGAAAAGGCTTCAGGCATATTTCACCATCAACATATTTCTTCAAGTCTGCTCGAGTCTTCGAAGGAGCCATTGGTGTTGTATGTTCCAGACCTTTTGTTGTAGCCAACTCCACATCTGTCATTGCCAGACATTCATAATAATTTTTGATAAAAATTTTGATGTGAGTAACTCCCAGCTTGTATTCATCAGGTTCTATGTTTTGAAGATATGAAAATGACCATACAACTTGCACTTCATGTTTTGTAAACTCGCACACATCGCCATTTGCCCTTGTCACAATATACTTCATGTTTTTGACTATGTTTTCGAAGACCACATCCTTCTTTATACTTATGACCTTTTTAATCTTGACTAAGGACCACAATTCTTCTGCAGGATTAGCAAGAACCGCATGAAATCTTATCTTCATTTGTGTGCCTTCATCCTTCTCCTTGAATTTACTTTCAGCTTTAAATTGAGGCATGATGAACATCATTTCGTTAATTGGAAAGTCCAATTGGCTAACATCTTTATTCGTGACAATATAACTCTTTTTAGGCTTCTTATCAAACGAATACATGTGATTGAATGCAACCTTGGTTTCAATTGTTTCATAGTTGTAGTTCTTCAATGGATCACCCTTGTTCATGCAAGGAGGGTCATTGGCCCTTTGAGTCATGATGATTTGTATCATCCTCATCTTCTCTACTTCTACTTCAGCCTCTGCCTTTTTCTCTTCTTTGTATTTTTCAATTAAAATTGACTTTCCCTTTGTCTTCGAACCAGATTTCTCTATCACTTCTCTTCTACAAGTGTCAATAGATTTACCAATCACAATTCCTTTCGAAATTGGTCTTGTAATTGGCACAGTTGTAACTATTGTAGAAGTGATAGGACCAGCAGTTTCTATCCCTATTTTTGATGTTTGAATTTTGGAAGGAAACACATTTCCTACAACCTTCTCATCTTCGCTACTAGCCTTCATACCTTCAACTTTCTTTTCTCCCCCTTGCTCCCCTGTGCTAACAGGTGGGGCATCCATGGTAGGAAGAAGGATAGGTATTCTAGAAAGCAGAGCCAACTGCCGAAGAAGTAAGGCTTTGAATTTGGAAAATTTGTTGATAAGATCTTTAGAAGGGAGTAAAGAAGACGAAGCAGGTGCAGAAGATAAAGCTTTAAGCTCCTTTAGCATTGAAAAAACCTACATGAAATTTTTATTCTTAGTTGTAGAAAATTGAGCAATTTAAGGACTCAAACTTTCGTACAACATTGCGAACTTAGTAACAGCATCACATATGATATCCACCTTTTGATTCAGAGATGCAAATTCAGTACGCACATTTGCAATCTCTTTGTCCATATCTTGTCTTTGTTCTTGAATTTTATAATTGACATCTTCTCTCAACTTCTTCACATCCTGAATAAACAAAATACGTCTCTCCTTTGCAACTAACTTTAACTCCTTGAGGTCACCATTAATTGTAGATTTCTGAGCATTGACCCTCAGCTTATTATTCTAATCACGAATATCAATTTTCTCGAGAAGATGAGACTCATAATCTGTAATCATGCCAGACACTTTCGAAGAAAGCCTCCCTTCAAACATCTTTAGCATACCATCTACTTCAAGACTTGTTATTGAATTACCTTCCAAGATCTACCTAAGGCTGAAGAATTGAATTGCGTTAATACTCAATATCTCGAACTGTTTCATTGTCATTAGCATATGATCTGGAAAGTCTGTCTCTTCTTCATCAAACTCTAAATATTTAAAGGTTACCCCAAAACCTTTGGATTCGTGTTCAGTTTCCATAAAAGAAGAATATTTTATGGGTGAAGTCGTGGTAGGTGGATCAGTTGATTATGAAGAAAATAGAGATGTGAATGGTTGTTGAATAATGTTTGCAAAAGTAGGAGAATCGGTTGTGGATGTAGTAGGAATGATAAGTGTAGCCTATGAAGAGAAAGAAACAGTTGTGTATGGAGTAACATCCGAAGATTTACTTTTGTCTACAACATGCGAAGCATCCTCACCCATTGTGACACTTGCATCCATATTAGATATGTTTACAAAAGTGTCAGAAGTTTGTTCCTCCACAGAAACTGTCTTGGCAATCGAAACTTCAGGTGGTATTACATTATCTTTTTGAAGATCAGCTTCCAGTGTCCCTAGAATGGTTTCAGTTTCATCAGTTGTAGATTCTGACAAAATAATCACTCTACCCTTCTTCTTCTTCTTTGAAATATGTTTGGCCATGTATGTTTCCCTTCTCTTCTTAGAAGACGGTGATGCAGGGGAAGGAATCTCATGAAAAATGACTCCTTGATGCGAAACCTGTGGTTTATGAACAACATTGGTTAAAGGTGAGCGACTCTTGTGTTTAGAATTCATCTTGATTCTGCGAAAAAATCCAGTCTTCGAAGGCATAATTTCCTTTTGATTCGAAGGAGTGTCAGCAACAACAATTTATGGTTGGATTGGCTCTGCTCCTGAGACTGATACTTTCTTCGGACTCTTTGCTGATGTAGATTCATTGACAGATTTCTTAGAAGATTCAGCAACAACCTTCTTCGAATGTTTTGACTTCTTTTCTTCCTCTCTAGCCAATAGAACCCCAGTTTCAACAGAAGTATCAAATGTTTGTAAGTAAGTAATGAGAAAATTGTTGGTGGGATCAACTCTCTTTAGCATAGCATCCGGAATGCGAGCAACAAATGGGAATTCATCAGTATCGTTAGTTGCATCCTTCAGACAACTATATATATGAAACACCACCTTTTCTTCGTCTGCCGGTACCAAAATTCCTTCCTTCTCATAAAAATGTTGTAAAATCAAACTCCAATATCGAGGACATAAAATGCCATGAATAGCATTCGTGTTCTCTATGCTCTTTAAAAACTCCTTCCGTAATTGAGTAAAATAATCAACCTGAAGATCATAGTATAATCCTACTACCATCGCGTAAACTTCCATCTGCCCTTTATCAAACCCAATAGTTCTTCCAGTCAAGAAACTAAGAAAAATACCAAAAAAGAAATTCCAAACACTCGAAAGTCCAGACTTCTTGAAATCACTAATCTTTGTCAACTGGGGTTGATGACCCATTTAATTAAACATATTGAATATTTGTGGGAATGTAAAAGTGACATATAGCGAAGAATTAGGTTTCTCGAGAATTTGGCAGAAAAGATTCTTGGAATGTTTAACCTTCTTATCAGTCACCAGATTAAACAACACTAAATCCAAGGCTTTAGAGTAAGTTGTTGTTGATCCAGCTTGAGATAACCATGATAGAGGAACAGAGAATGAGTTGAACATGGATTTTGATAATATGGAACTTTTCAAAGCAATGATAAGCATTTTCAGTTCTTCAGGATAGTGAGATATGTAGGCTTCAACTTGATAATTTGTTCTTTGAATCTTCATGATCGGCAATGAAGTTACATCAGCGGTGGTATGAGACAAAGTTGCATCAGGATTAGCAGTCGCCATTGTTAGGGTTTGAGAGTTGGATGTTTATCATAGAAAATTTGGGAATATGAAAGTGTAAACTGATAATGAACCCTTGAATCCATTTTTATATGTAACGCTGAATTTTGAAATCAAAGCCGGATAAGCATTTAATGATTTGTGACGTGTCACTGAGAAACCCGCATCATGATGATGAAAAAGCAACCATGCGTGATAAAATAACTGTCACATCTCCTCAAAACCCGCACAGAAATCAAACAATCTCTTCAAACAGCTTGGATTGTTTGCGCCAATAGAATAGTAACCGTCGGAATCCTTCGGATGGAGTCAAGGCTCTTTTACTTTCTGGTTTCAAAGTAAATTCATTTTCCAGATTTTTGAAATCATCAGCCTGAGTTGGTATTACTTAGAACCTGAAGGATTTCGTGTGTGTAGCGTATCAAAGAATAAAGATAAGAATCAATTAAAAAAATTGGATATTTAGTGATGTCAAAAATTCAATTTGACACGAAGGTAGTTAAAACCCCGGTCAAAGATTGTTTCGTTAATTATCAACAGCTTGTGTATTTTCCCGTGAATTACAATCGAATACTTGTAAATAAGTATCGAAGGGCTTCTTTTAAAAGGATTTTGAGGTGGTTTAATGAATTTCATTACATATCAACCTAAACATGAGATGAGTAATTGTAACAGAAATTACTTGGTTGACCAGTGTAGACAGTGACAAGTTTGCTTTGAAAAACGTTTAAGTAACATGGAATTTCAGATAAAACTCACACTGAAATCATATTAAAAAAAATATTTTGGATCCTGTTGGGTAACAAACATCATGGGTTACGAATTTTTGATCAAGACCATGCATAAGAATTGAATATGATTTGGAGTTTTGAACGAAGGTACAGAAACAAATGTTTCGTTAAAATCTGGAACTAAGTTCCCTGTTAATTCCATAAAGGTTGATTACATTGGGTTTCACTTCCATCATGGTCTCATGATGTCTGATCATAAACACAAATTTGTGATATATCTAAGTTTCGATTGGTTTGACTAGAAACCTCTTGGACATATGTCTTCATGTGTGATGGTGTAAGAACTTTTAAGATGAAAAAGATTCGTATACGAAGGAACATGTACCTCTATTAATTAGGACCAAACAATAAACTCTTAACTCATGTGAGAAGAGTAAGGTAGCTCATTGGACTAATGCAAATGTAAGCCTGATTGGGAAGAAATCTTCGTATGAAAATTTCATTAAGGCTTTCAAACATTAAGTCATTTTGAGGCTTTGGACAACATGCATCACCATGCTTCTAGGGACATCTTAAATAGTAAAAATTTGAAATTCAAAGAATAGAATGATAAATGTACCTCACCCTAGAACTGCAAGCCTCGTCCACTTTGTATCTTCATGAAAATCTGCAACATCGTACTTAAAAAGAAAGAGAAAACAAAATCTTTTTGTTGTTTTTGATTTTTCAAAAATGAAGAACAAAATAATAAGAAAATCTTTTTGATGTTTTTGATTTTTTAAAAAATCAAGAACAAAACAATTAAAAGTACTCGTTGAAAATATTCGAAGTTTTAAAAATACCAATCATACGAATTCGAAGCATTCGAAGAGTTGACTGTGAACAGTAACCTCTGAATACTTAATGATTTTTCTTTGTTGTTTTCTTGTAATCACTGTTTGTCTTTTTCGCATGGGTTTGAATTTCCATCAATCATCCCCAGTCCTTCCAAAATTCGTACAAATGATTTTTCCTCCAAATCTTTTGTGAAAATATCAGCTAACTGATCCGTTGTTTTCACAAAATGTACTTCAATATTTCCTTCCTCCACATGATCTTTGATGAAGTGATAACGAAGACCTATATGTTTCGTCTTTGAATGCTGCACAGGACTATGACAAATTCTTATTGCACTTTGTGAATCACAATATAAATGAATCTTTTTCATGTTAATTGCATAATCACATAATTGACTTTGAATCCATATTATCTATGAAGTGCATGCAGCTGTCGCAACATATTCAGCTTCAGTCGTTGAGATTTAAACACATGTCTGCTTTTTCGATTGCAAGATCACCAACTTACCATCGATTAAATGACATCATCCACTTGTGCTTTTCCTATCAAGATTACAACCTCCCAAATATGCATCCGAATATGCTTGAATAAAAAACCCTGTATTCGAAGGATACCACAATCCTAGCGAAGAAGTTCCTTTTAGATAACGAAAGATATTCTTTATAGTAGTGAGATGTGGTTCTCATGGATTTGCTTGATACCTAGCACAATTACATACAGAAAACATGATATCAGGTCTACTAGCAGTTAAATAAAGTAAAGATCCAACCATGCTTCTGTATAAAGTAAGATCAACATCAGGTTTATCTAATGAAGGAGTTAGTTTGATCCCAGTTGTAATTGGAACTCGTAACTTTTTGCTATTCTTACTCCAAACTTCTCTAGCAGATTCTTCATATACTTTTCTTGATTAATGAAGATTCCTTCTCTACTTTGACGAATGTTTAAACCAAGAAAATTATTAATTTTTCCCATCATGCTCATTTCGAACTTACTTTTCATCAAGTCTTCGAATTCTTTAGACAAAGCAGGGTCAGTTGAGCCAAAGATAATATCATCAACCTAAATTTGAACAAGCATAAGATGATTCCGAGCTTTGTTACGAAATAATGTGGGGTCAACTGATCCTTGTTTAAATTTAGATTATTTCAAAAATGAAGTAAGAGTTGCATACCATACTCGTGGTGCTTGTTTCAAACCATAAACTATTTTATCTAAAACATAAACATAATCAGGATGTTCTTCGTTAACAAATCCTAGGGGTTGTTCCACATAGATAGTTTCTTCAAGTTCTCCATTCAGAAATGCACACTTCACATCCATTTGATAAACATCAAATTCTTTGTGAGATGCATAATCCAAAAATATACGAACCGTATCGAGTCTTGCGACAAGGGAAAAAGTTTCTTCGTAATCAATTCCTTCTTGTTGAGAGTATCCCTTAACAACAAGTCTGGCTTTGTTTCAAATGATATTTCCATCTTTGTCATTTTTGTTTTTGAAAATCCATTTTAACCCAAAAATCGAAACATCATTTGGCTTAGGAATTAATCTGCAACCATTATTTCTTTCAAATTCTGACAATTCAGATTGCATTACAACAACCCAATCTGAGTGTTCCATTGCAATCTTTACAGTCTTTGGTTCAATTTTAGATATAAAAACATTGAACATGCAAAACTCTTAATGAGTATTTAATACCTTATTCTTTGCACGAATTTGAGCACTTGTTAATACTCCCTCTTGTGGATTACCAATTATTTGCTCCTTCGGATGATCTTTTGTCCATTTGTCTATTAGTGGATAGGCTTGATCGAAGTCCAAAGGTGCGTATTCGAACAATTCATTATTATATGAACCTGCAATTGAACAAACATCATTAACATCATGATAATTTTCATTATTTTGTAATAGCTCCTCCTCAACATTAGCATTTAATCTCTCCCCCTCAACATCAACATTATCTCTCTCATTCTCCCTCTCAAAAGAATGCTCCCCCTCCATCAGAGTGTTCGAATCCAAATGCTCCCCCTCCATTGGATCATTTTGCATACTTTCACCTATTTCTCGAGGAGATGATGTTGAATCATCAGTAAACTTTGAATGTTCAGGGATATGATTCACAGGAGCATTTTCTTCAACATTTCCAGCATGATCTGAAATTCCAAATATCAAATCATAATCCGTATCCAACATTTGCACTAGTTCAAATTCATCTTGATTTTCTTTCAAAATTGGAAGATTTTGAAATTGTTTTTTTGATTGTTTGATATAACAATCATCAAACGTAAGATTAAAAGTTTCTTCCACTTTTCATGTATGCTTGTTCAATACACGATATGCCAATGAATAATGCGAATACCCCAGGAA